AGTGCCTTTGCGAGACTGGGATTTAGCCTGACGCTCTTGCCGGAGCTCCTGTCTCCATCCTCACAAATGTTAAAATGTGGAGCTGAACGAAATGAACCAGAGCAACAGTGAGTTACCAGCAAACCCCTGAGTGCTGACTGTGTATCAGGTTACTGTTTATTCTGGGTTTCAGCTGGCGCTGTGCCTGAGACAAAGTCATCCTGAGTTGTAGGATTTCTGTTACTTTAATCCCCCGGGGGCCAAGCTGTAGCCTTGCAGATAGAGCCTTGGAGTTACAGATTACAACAAGGCTGGGAACAAGAACAATGGACCACTTCATTAAGCAGTGCTACAGTGTGAAAGGCTGAGGGCTTCCAGAAAGCCGAGGTCACCCTCCATCCTTGCTGATATCCCTGCCTACGCAGAACCGTGGTGCTCACGACCTTGGTTTCCACTCTGGCACCAGCCTGTCCACCTGGCGCCTGCTTCTTCAGTTTTTGTCTAATTTTATTTATAATGTCCTTGACTCTTTTCAACCATAATGACGGATGCTTTACAATGGCTACAAGTGTTAATCTGAAGTCATGGGGAAATATATATGTGTGTGTGTGTGTGTGTGTGTGTGTGTGTGTATATATATATATATATATAATGCTACATAATGATAGATAGATAGATAGATAGATAGATAGATAGATAGATAGATAGATGGGGAGAGAGAGCCTCTACAAGGATGAGCACATATCAGCTGCTTTGTTTATTTTTTTTTATTAAGTTCCAAAAACTGGGCATTTATTTTGCTGGCAGATGCTTCTGCCTTGCATAGATTTATTGTCTAATCCGTTTATTTTTCTCACTTGGTGAAAGTGATGATTTCCTCTGAATATCAGACCTTTTGAGGTGGGGTTGGGTTCCTTTAACTAGACTAGATGCAGATGTAACGGGAAGACCAGTTTAAAGGACTGCAGTTTGTTTTAAATCTATTTCTAGACGTAGGAGGAAGAGCCGTCACGTGGTTCAGTTGTAAGAATGTTTTCCTAGTTTGATCCCAGCTCTGCAGGAGCCAGGCATGATGGCTCACACCTGTAAGTCTCGTACTCAGGAGGCAGAAGCAGGAAGATGAGAAGTTCAGGGCCAGCCTTGGCTCTATTACTTAGCACAGCCCCGCTAAGTAAGAACCTATCTCTACAAACAACAAAAGAAGGTTATCAACACACACCCTTAAGCACACGTTGAATGTGGGGACAGACAAACAACTCTCCAAGTGTTGTTAGGAGACAGTTTCCTGAGTTCTGCCATCTCAGGAACAAGTTCCATCTTGCTGGTAAGGCCAAAAGAAGAGTTCATGTTCCCAGGCCCCATAACCAACTCTGATCCTTGCTTCTTCAGGTGTTTCATGTTTATATGCTAGCCAATAAAGGATGTACAGAGGAAAGTTGCCTTTACCCCGTTATGTAAACTAAGGCACACATCATAAATGTGCTGCCTGTCAAGATGTAAATTGACTACGCGCAGCTTGACCACTCGCCTTCGTTCTCTTATCATTCTAAAATTCTGAACCAGAGTCCAGGAGGGGACCTGACTGCAAAAGCTGAATTATTGACCCTGAAACCAGGGGACCCAAATAAGGCCCAGTCGCCAACGTTAACTTCCTTGCTACCTATGTCAAACTATGATTGGCCAGTGTAACAGCCCACCCTGCTCCCCACCCCACCCCACCACACCATCTGTGTTCCCATCCTATAAAAATGTTGTACAATCTCTCTTCCAGGATGTGGTTCAGATTCTGAACTGGCCTTGGTATCCATTGCTTTCTCTGTAGAATGCCTAGGCCCAAAGCCATGATAGCCAGCTTTACATCATGGGGGCCAGTATTATGTTAGCCAGCTTCATTTATCAAGTGTATAAATTGTCCTTAATTTTAACTTGGGTACTGGAAACCTGTTTCCTCACTTTGGTTGACTCTATGGTGACTTCTAAAAATGAAATTGATTTTCTCTTTTGTTTATTTTTTCTCTGTAACATCTTTCTTCATTTTTTTATAAATGTTTTCTTGTTTAGGATCTACTTTACTGGAACCAAGAAAAATCTAAAAGTTAATTTTCTCCCTCACATTCCCTCCATCCTCCGGCCATCTGTTTTCTTGCTTCAGAATTTAATTTTATATCTCCAAGAACAGATATAACTATACATGAGAGACAAATTTGTGCAAATATATATCCTTTATAGTATAATTTACATATATATACATACATACATACATGCATGCACACAAATATACATACTATATTTGAAACAGGGTATCTTTGTCTATGTAGTCCTGGCTGTCTTGGAGCTCACTATGTAGACCAGGCTAACAGAAAGATCCACCCGCTTCTGCCTTCTGACTGCTGGAATGAAAGGAATGCACCACTATTACCTGGTATATATAATATATATATACATATAATATACAATATATACACATATATATATTACATATATTATATAATATACTATATATGTCTGTTCTGAAAGGACAGAAAGTGTGTGCTCATCTGCTGAGCCATTTCTCTCTCCACCCCCAAGACTCCACTTGAGATCTTCAGCAATGTCAACAAACATGTCTTCAAGATACTTCTGAAATATATCATGTGCCCTCACATTTAATTACATACTTGTAATCTTTTTCTATTTTACCCTCCCCCAACCCCTAGGGTATTCCTGGTTGCCCTCTCTCTGCTTAGGTGAGCCATTGATTTACCTGTTTTATGGTCCCACACCTGTAGGGTATACATTTACCCTGTGTGCTTACCTTTCATTTCTGAGGGGTTGTCTCTCCCCAGATGTGTTCATTCGTTCACTTACACCCACTGAAACCTTCCACTGATTTCTTTAGGTTTGTTGTCTTTCCTTTCTCCTTGATTTCAAAGTCGGCTTTATCCTCACCCCATCCTGTACTCACTGAACTGAGCTAAGCTGTCATTGCAAAGGGATCCCAATACTTACCATGTGACCCAACACAACAGACATGAGCTCATTTATAACGGAGTCACTTCCTGTGGGAGGGGGGTAACTCAGGTTATGGAGTCAGCTCCATCTAAAGGTCTGGTATTTTGATTTGAAAAAAAAATCTTTCTTCTCTGTATAATTTGCTAGAAGGAATAGCTAGCAGGCACAGATATTCACACACACACACACACACACACACACACACACACACCCCATTTCTTTTCCCTGAATAGATTGATTCAGCAGCTGTTGATAAGTACCCAGTATCTGAAGATGACAACCTATTTTCAAAAAGATTTATTTATTTTTATTTTTATGTGCGTGGGTATCTTGACTGTGTTTATGTCTTCTGTGTCCAAACCCAGTGCCCTTGAAGTCCAGAAAAGAGTGTCAGATCTCCTAGAGCTGGATTTACAAACTCCAAACTCTGGTGCTCTGCAGAAACAGAAAATGCTCAAAGCTTCTGTGCTATTTCACTGGCCACAGTTTTATGACTTTTACATTTTGCTGTTGTCCTTTTAAACAAACATCAGGACAAAGTGGGTAACATATACAACATGCTTATACTTGTTTTGTATTTGCCTGTTTAACAACTTCCCTTACAGGGCTGTGGGGTCTCTGTGTGAATTCAAGTTGTTGCCTGTAGTCCTTTCTACCTTCTCCTAACTCAGAGCAGGGTTCTTGCCTGGGACAGAGAAGGCACCTCCTGTACACATGTAACAAAGAGTTACTTTGATTAATATAAATATTAAATAAATTATTTTTCATTTTGTCTGTGGCTTCATTGCATTTCAGGATTTGAAAACAGTTGGCTTTAGCTGCTTTGTCTGTATTTTTCTTGTCTCTGTGAGACAGTTTACATCAGCTCTTTCCTTTATGACTCCAGAAGTCAAGGTCCTAGGATTTACTTTAAAGCTAACTTTTGTTTGTTTGTTTGTTTGTTTTTTTAAAATCTCATTTAGAGTTTGGGATCATAGCACATTACTTTAATATTTAAAGTCATTTTCTTATTTCTTCAAAACGTATTCAACTGAAACTCAAACTCTCTCTTTCATTATTTCCTGTGCTTCAGGGACCCTCGTATAGAAAATTAAAAGAGAAAAAAAAAGACCAAAGATAAACAATATTCCCACGAGGCACACAGAATATACATGGACACATGTGAGGAGCAAACAAACTTAAAAATTAGAGCCGTCAATTTGTGAACAAGCTTTCCTGTCTCCCTGACAATATCAATAATGGGCTTTTACTCTATTCTAGCAGCGATCTAGCGCCACCTAGCGCCGCAATCAATATCTGCCCTTCTCTTTTTCTCTCCTCCCTTCCTCCTGGCTCTTGGTTGAAGTGGTAGATTGCTATCCCGGATTATGTTCAGAAAACATATAAAAAGACAGAAAGCTGGATGTAGTTGCTTACACCCATAATTTCAATACTCTGGAGGATTGCCGTGAATTTGCAGGCCAGCCAGAGCCACATAATCTCTTCCAAGCCAATTCACTCTACAGTGTGAGACCGAGGAAGATAAAACAATGTAAAGTAAAAATGTGTGCCTAATTGAGGCTCCGACAATTATTTCAGAACGGTGGTTATCATTTCTGTGCGCCCAATTAGGTAATCGGGGGTGGAGGAGAAAAGTCAGGGTGGAAACGAAGTCAGTGGGAACAAGCAGATCAGGTCGTGCATAAAACTTCAGAGCCTCTAGTCTGTAGCCATCCAAGGTCACAGGGACCAAAGCCCGGGAGGTGGAGCTCAGAGGACATCTCTTTGAAGCCTAGGCCTCGCGGTTATACAAACCTTTGGGGCAGGTGACAAAACAAAAACAAAAGCCAAGGAGTTTCCTGTCTGTGGCTCCCACACGGGAACATTCTTGGTTCTCACACCTTGCAAACTCACTCTTGGGAAACTCAGGGGAAAAGGCAGGCGGAGTTCTAGCCACCAAGGAGAGAGAGGGACTGAGCTCTTTCGCAGACTTGGGTAAGCACGGGGCGGAGCCGCGGGAGCATCCTTGAGCAGCCATCGCGGAGCATGATGGGAAAATCCTCCTTCCCTTGGACATGGCGCGCACCTGCCTGGCAGCCCCAGCCGGCTCCAGCACCGCGCTGTGCGGGTCCGTGCTGTTCAGGGTCTGCCGCGGTTTGGGCGGCGGGGGCGGGGGTGGGGGCGCGACTGGAGCACACCTATACGCATCGGTGTACTGAGCCCCAGGGTGCTGAGCTTAGGGTGCTGAGCCCCAGGGTGCGCGCGGATCCTGCCCGACTCTGCGGGCATGGCGTCCCAGGTGCTGCAGCTGCTCAGGCAGGGCGTGTGGGCCGCGCTCACAGGGGGCTGGTACCACGATCCGGAGCATAGCAAATTCACTAACAGCTGCCACCTCTACCTGTGGCTGTTCCTGCTCCTGCTGCCACTGGCGCTGCACCTGGTGAGTCCCCAGCTTAGGGATGGATGGTGGGGGGGAGAGGAAAAGGAGGAGAAACAGGAAGCGGAAAGGAAAATTAACAGAAGAGAAGGAAGGGGAGAGAAGGAAGGAGATGGGAAGAACTAACTAGGAAGTAAGGTTATGAAAGAAAAGGGGAGGGGGAGCCACAGACGAGGCCCAGGATGGGAAGGGGACAGTGACTTTTGAGAAGTAGGGACTGAAGAATAAGGGAGAGGGGCTGGGGACAGCAGTCCTGCAGGGCACAGGGGAGTCACAGGAAGGGGGAAAAGTATGTAGGACTTCGGGGACTGTGAGCTCATTAAGAATTGATGCAGGCTGCCTGGATGAGTCAGGCTCTGCTGTCAGAACGGTTGAGACTGGCTTGTGGGTACCAACCCTAGGCCTCATGGTTCCGGATGATATCAGCTATAACATGTCATGTTCGGTCTCAATGTAAAGGCAATATGAATCCCCCCCGACCCCCTGCCCCGGGCGACCTGATTTCGGTTGTTAGTCGTTTTTTCTACTCTTCCTGTTTTGCTTTAGGCAGGTAAATTCCACCACCAATCGCTCTGCAGTTTCTACACCACGGTGTAGAGAAGTCTGAAAAAAAATACAGGAGTGGATAAATGTCATGTTCATATGCTGGAGCAATGTGGCAACTCCTACTCTGGGATGGCCACCATTGCGGGAGAGGGGTAGTGAATGCTTGCTGATGGATACCTATGACCTTCATAGGTCAGTTAAACATACAGATAGCTCAAGGCATGATGAAGCTCTCTTCAAAAGCTGCCTGCCAGTGAGGAGAAGAGCCGACTGTGAAATGCCTGTGAAGGACCTTGCCCCTAGAACAGTACGTGGTCATGTTCTCCTCCACAAAATCTTCAATGAGTTTTCATGGCTGACAGATCCTGAATTTGGCATTTGAGAGATCCCTGGTGGCTTGGCACCCCTAGACCCTGCCTCTTTTGTTTCTGGCAGTTTGTCCAGGGCTGTGGTTCTGAGGGCAGGCTGCCTCAGTTAAAATCTGGACCCAGCTTTTCCCAGTTCCGGGACCTTGGAAGAAGTTAGCTGACTTTGACTTTTTACTTTCCTCAGCTGTAGAACAAGAGGTGTGTGTGTGTGTGTGTGTGCGTGTGTGTGTGTACTTGAAACAGAGAGGTCAGAAGACAATGTGGCAGGAGTTCCACTGTGTGGACTCCATGGATCAAAATGAGGTCATCAAGGGTTGGTGGCAGGCGCCTTTACTCACTGAGCTATCTTACTGGCCTCTAGAACCAGTTTGTGTGAGCAGTGGAGCTCAACGAGACAGTGTGTATGAATATGAAGTCTTCTTCGGGACAGTCTGGCTTGGACCTGGACTTATCATCTTATTAGACTGACATTGGACCTACCTAGACCTTAGTTTTCTAAGTGGGGGCCTCTCCAGAGAGTGGTGGTGGCCCATGTGTATGGCCACCCGGTCTCCTGGTTGTGATCTCAAAGAAGAGAAGGAGACAGATGGACCATGAGGTCAGGGGGGGGTCTCCCAACCCAGGGAAAGACTCCAAAGTGAGTAGGTCAGGGTGTCTGCCCACTGTTGAAAGAAAAGAGGTGAGTTTGTTATGTAATAGGGAGGGTTGTAGGGCATATTGAGGGAAGTTGTCTGGGATAGACATTCTCGGACTTATTAACCACTAGGAGTCTGAGTTCAACTCTCAGTAAAGAAACAAACGAACAAACAAAAAAACCAAAAAAACACTTAAACACAACTAGAAGCTTGAGATAGAAGATAAATTACTTTCTATCCCCAAGGATTTTGTTTTGTTTTGTTTTTGTTTGCTACTGTTTTTGTGTTTTGAGACAGAGTTTCATATAGCCCAAGCTATCCTTAAGCTTCTGAACCTCCTGCCTCTCTTTCTTCGTACAAACGCCCCTGGCTTCCGGTTGTTGTTTTGAGGGGAAAAAGTCTAAGGTTCAGAAAAGTTGCAAGACTTGTACAAAGGGTGTTACACTATGTTCACTAGATAAAACAATTCTTAGTGTTTTATCATGTGTATTAATTACCATCCTTGTTGCTGTGGCAGCATACCCACCAAAAGCAGCGTAGAACAGGAAGGTTTACTTAGGCTCACAGTTGGAGGGTGCAGTCCATCGTGACAGGAGAGACCTGAAAGTAGAAGTGTGAGGCCCGCTGGTCATGTTATCCATTCAGTCAGGAGGCAGAGAGAGGAGAATACTGGTGCTTAGCTCACCAAATCCTTTTTATTCAGTATGGGACCCAGCACATAGGGTTGGGCGGTGCACATTTAGGATGGATTCTCCAACTTCAAGTACCCAGTCTGGAACGTCCCTCTCAGGCGTGCCCAGAGGCTTGCCTTGTATGTGACTCTAGATCCCGTGAAATTGACAGGATTCGCCATCACAAGCCTCACCCATCTACCTCACCGCCTTCTTTATGTATTAATATATACTTGGTGTAGTATTTCAAAATAAGTGATGGGCCACAAGACGCTGCCCGCATCATGACAGTGCTGTGTATCTTGAGAGGGCTGATAGTTACTCCAGAGGGCCCTCAACCCCTTTGGCTTCCGTAGCATTTAAAATCATTTTATAGAATTTATAACATTTATAGAATGTTTCTTAACTTTCATTTCTGTTTCCTGGGATGACGTGTGTGACTAGGGGTTTGGGAAGGTGATACCAAACAAGGCTGTGACCTTGTGCATCGCATCAGAGGGACATGGCATACTCTCCCACCCCTGTGTCCATTAATGCTGTGTTGACTGTGGTCACCGGTCAGGGCAGAGCCTGCCCAGTTTCTGAGTTGTGAAGTACATATTCTCTTTCTGCATTTAGCAATAGGTGAATTGAAGACTACACAGATTTCATCCCCAGCAAGTTTTAAACTCAGTGGCTGTCGTATTCTGGTTTAAAATACTTACCACCATGGCACTTAAGAAATTGACTTTGCATCTCTGTTCTTCCAGGCTTTCTCAGTTGGTATCATTCTTCTTACGGAGGTGTTCCTTTACCTTGCTCCCTCTAGGTGTGTTCTGTCTGTTATAGTTGACGCCATTTTGTGTGTCTGTGTGTGTGGGTCTGTGTGATATGTGCTTGTGAACCATGAATGTGTAGAGGACACATTGCGGTCTGCGGTGTCCTCTTCAATTGCTCTCTGATTTAGAACCTGGAGTCCCTAAACCACCAACCAAAGAGTACACATTGTGGGGGGGGGAACCCATGGCTCCAGCTGGATGTGTAGCAGAGGATGGCCTTATCTGGCATCACTGGGAGGGGAGGCCTTGCATCCTGTGGAGGCTCAATGACCCAGGGCAGGGAAATGTTAGGGCAGTGAGGCAGGAGTGGGGGGGGGGGGCGGGGGGGCCCCCTCATAGAGTCAGGGGGAGGGGGGGGGGTTAGGGGTTTGTGGAGGGGAAACTGGGAAGGGGGATAACATTTGAGATGTAAATAAATAAAATAACCAATAATAATAATAAAAGAATATGGAGTTCCCCAATCCTACTAGACTGGTTGGCCAGGAATCTTTCCATCTCTACCTCCCCAGATGTGGGATTGCAAGCATATACTGCCACACATGCTTTTGACATGGGTACTAGGGGTTGCTCGGGTCCTCATGGTTAGGTGGCAGGCACCTCCAATCCATCCCCCTCAGAATTCCTTTGATGTATAGTTGTAATCAGTCATTTGTCCCTGGCTTGTTACTCTACGTGGATGGAGACTCTCAGTACTAAAGGAGATGCAATTTGGTCACCGGAATCCTGGGTTCTCGGGGGGGCCCAAGCTGTGGGCTGGGAGACCCAGAAGCTCACAGCTCAAGCTCTGAGAGCAGAACCCTATTACTCCAGGCCAGAAGTTCAAAACCTTCCTAATGCTGTGACCCTTTAATACGGTTCCTCGTGTTGTGATGACGTCCCCAACCACAGAAGTATCTTTGTTGCTACTTGATAACTTTTATGAATCATATTGTAAATATCTGTGCTTTCCGATGGTCTTCATCAAGCTCTATAAAAGGGTCTGTCCATTCCCCAGAGGGGTCATGTCCCACAAGTTGAGAACCACACTCTTTAGCAGCCAGACACTTCTGGGCATTAGTGGTCCTGGCATCTCAGCAGCTCTTGCAAGCCTCAGCTTCCCGCAGCAGTGAGCAGCAGCAGATGGTATCTACTTGTGTTGCAGCTTCTGAACACACCTCCAGTGTGATGGTTTGTATGTGCTTGGCCCAGGAGTGGCACTATGGAGGCGTGGCCTTGTTGGAGTAGGTGTGTCACTGTGAGCATGGGCTTTAAGTACCCTAATCCTAGCTGCCTGGAAGTGAGTCTTCCACGAGCAGCCTTCAGATGAAGAGGTAGAACTCTCAGCTCCCCCTGCATAGATGCTGCCCTTCTCTCACTTTGATGATAGTGGACTGAACTTCTGAACCTGTAAACCAGCCCCAATTAAATGTTGTCCTTTGTAAGACTTGCCTTGGTCATGGTATCTGTTCACAGCAGTAAAACCCTAACGAAGACATCCAGTATTGGGCTGCTCAGCTGATACAAGGATGAGAGCTCTGGCTCTTGGGCATTCTGCTCTTGGCCAGCAGCTAGCATTAAAGTTCTCAGGCCTCTGGTGTCGGAAATCCTCAGTCCTTCAGGCTTGAGGCTTCTTGCCTCAGTTCCTCACCGTCTTCTCCCTCCCTCCCTCCCTCCCTCCCTCCCTCCCTCCCTCCCTCCTTCCCTCCTTCCCTCCTTCCTGTCATCGTCTTCTACCGTGAGAGTCACCCTCTAGTATCCCTCATACCTCAGAATCGAAAAACAAATTATAGAGCATTAAATCAAACAACAATGGCTTCAGCTCACTTATGGCTATTGATTTGTCTTAAATATAGAAAAGAAATATAGACTTTTTGGTTTTGAGAGCTATTAAGACTCTTCTAGTCCTTTAATTCTCTGATGTAAAGGTTTATCTTGATATATATATATATATATACATATATATATATATATATATATATATCCCAAATCTTTACCATCTCAGAAGAAAAGGCAGATGGAAGATGGGGAGGAGGCTCAGCAATTGCAGTACCAGAAGAGCAAGTGTGAATTTGGATCTTCAGAATCCACATAGAATATCAGGTCGGTGACCAACCCACCAGAAATCCCAGCCTCAGAAAGCAGAGATGGGGCATCCTTCTAGGGAGCTGGTTAAGTGAGACTCGCCATGTGGGTGAGCTCTGGATTTGATTGAGAGACCCTGTCGGTGAGCTCTGGGTTTGATTGAGAGACCCTGCCTCAGTGAATAAGGTGGGCGAGTAAGGGGTGGTGATTTCTGATCTCAGCCTCAGGTTTCCACATGCACATTCATCTATGCCCATAATAAGCACCCCACACGTGCCACCATGCATACCAAACATGCATACAGCCATGCATACACTGTATCCACATATGAAAAGTGGGACGAGGGGAAGAAAAATGGAAGAAAGCTAAAACACAGTCCGTTACCTTTTTCTTCTGTTATTTCTAAAAGAAAGACTACACCAAGGTATTTAATAGCCAGGGAAGAAGGAAAATGTCTGCCATAAGAAATATCCCCCAAGGAATCCTGCTGGAAAACAGCTTTTACCAGAAAATGTTTGCTGTGATTTGTTATGTGAAGTGTCACCCACAGGCTCACCTGTTTGAGCACATGCTACCTAGCTAGTAGTTCTGACTGGGAAGATTGTGGAACCTTTGGGAAATGAAGCCTCACTGAAGGAAGTGGTTCCTTGAGGGTGGGACTTGAGGTTATATAGCCCAGTCCCACTTCCTGTCCACTCTCTGCTTCCTGTTTCATCAAGATTTGAAGAGGTTTGGAGTCCCACCGGCATACTTCCCTGCCTGCTCCCATGCTTTCCCCGTCACACTGGGCCATGTCCCTTTAAAGTGTGAGCCAAAAGGACCCCCCTCCCTTAAGTTGCTTCTTGTCAGACATTTGTCACACAGTGAGAAAAGTCACTGACTTGTTCCACAGTTTTTAATGTATGGGTCCATCTGACCCACCGTACCAGCTAAGTAAAAACATTTGCTCTGAAGTTCCTTGTTACATTTTTCAACTGTATCTGACTTTATTACCTGAATTGTTAACAGTATCTATGGTTTGGAGACCAGCTAATAAGTAGTAGTAAATCCAGGTGTAGTTTTAAAGACAAAGGGTGGGTGGTAGCAGCAAGAATGGTGGTAGAAATTAAAGACACTAGCATCCCAGGGCTTGCTGGGCACCCAGAATCCTCCCGGCTCTGCCTTCTTAGCACTGGTGTTATCAGCGGAGGCCACTGTGCCTGGCTTTTTCTCTTGGGTTCCAGAGATTGAACTCTGATCTTCGTGTTTGTGTGGTGAGCATTTTATAGGCTGAGCCAACTCTCCTGACTCAGTAGGTTTTTTATTTTTCCTTTTTCTCTCAGTGCTGGGGATTGAGTTTAGGGCTCCACGGAGGCAAGTGCTCTACCACTGAGCTGTGCTCCCTGCCCTGTTTTATTTAACTCATGCACTGACAGCAACACTGATGAACCATAGAATGATTCATACACCGTGTAAAGGTTGAATCCTGCTACTTCTTGTAACCTCTTCAGTAATCCTAAAGTCAGTAATAAAACATTCAGATATAAAAATCAAAGAGGTTAGCAGGAACACTGGTCATCCAAGTCACTGATGAGAACTCGAGAAGCAAAAAAGACCAAAGGTAAATAGGTAATATAACTCTTTGCTGTTGAGATTCTAACCAGAAAATGTCCCCAAGCCAGAAGCACTTGATGTTTTCCCTGACTTATGTGCAATTAACAGC